GGTAGAAATTTTTCTACCATGATAAGGGTATGATAAGGGTTCAATGAAAAAAAAAAATGATTTCTTGAATTAATAACTTGCGAAAAATCGGTTTGTAAATTTGAGGGTGTTACATATTGGTATCAGAGCATATAGTCGGTTGGCAATATACATTGTTATGGTGCTTCTCATTGTATGGCCATGATATAGCTAGGCTAATTTTATTATTTATATCTTGTATCCTTTAGGAGGGGAGAGAAAATGCCTGTTACTCGTGGTAACTCAGGATTCCAACATGAGCACCTGCCACCGCCACTGCCAAATGAGGAGCCTGACTTGGCGGAATTAAGAATGCTTGTAAAAACATTAACAGACAAGGTTCAAGGATACGAACAAGAGTTGACGGAGCTAAAGAGGCAAAAGGTAACTGAAAATGGAGATAGGGCTCATGTTGAGAGTCATGTGGGGGAAGGCAGTTCCTCACATCCTGCCACTCTGAGAGATCATGAGTCTAGAAGGAAAGAAATTAGGCAGGAGGAACAGAGAGCCCCACCGACCATTACTGATGTGTGGGAAACTGTTAGGAAGTTTAACCCTCCTACGTTTGATGGTAACCTTAAACCATCCGTGGTAGAGGAATGGGTGAAGAGACTCGAATCCATCTTTCGAGTAGTCACATGCACCAGCAATCAAAAAGTACAAGTAGCATTAGTGCTCCTAGTGAAAGGAGCAAGAGATTGGTGGGAGACAGCAGGGCCCAGGGATGATTCTACACTCACCTGGGAGGAATTCAAGGAAAAATTATTCAGGCATTACTTTCCATCAGAGTTAAGGTCTGAGAAGGAAGCGGAATTCCATGCCTTTAAGCAAGGGAACCTCGATGAGGACACATTCATTGCTAAGTTTCAGGAGTTATCTAGATACTCCACGTACCTGCAGTATAGGGATGATTCCGAATGGAAGGCTAAGCGCTTATTGGAGAAGGCTAGACCAGAATTGAGGGAACAATTGGCTCATCTAGATATCCGAGATTATGATGAAATGTGCATAAAACTACAAGTAGTAGCTCGCAGTAAGAAGGAGGTTGAGAGAGAGAAGAGGGGTTATTCATATAGTAGACCCCCAACCTACCCTCGACCCACCGGAGGCATTATGAAGAAAAACCATCAGGGTTCGAGTAGCTCATGGAACCAAGGAAGGCAGAAGGGTCCATTTCAAAGGGGCCAAGGACAGAGGAGCTATCATAGTAGTTATCACGGGTCACAGAGGAGCCCAACAGTATCTACCCCTGCCCCGAGTACAGCGAGCTCTCAACAGTGCACTAAATGCGGGCGTCGTCATTTCGGACAGTGCTGGGTCTGTTACATTTGTGGGAAACCCGGTCACATTGCAAAGTTTTGTGGGGACAACCAGGGCTCAAATATGAAGAACCCTTCCCAACATCCTACTGTCTCTGGTCGTGTGTTTGCTCTTACTCAGGACACCATGAACTCCCCAGATGCCATTAGAGGTAACATCAAAATCCTTCATCATGATATTGTTGCACTATTTGATTCGGGTGCTACACACTCTTTTATTTCTGAAACTTGTGTAAAGAACCTTGATTTGCCTGTGTGTATTTTACCTTTTGATATGAATGTGTCTACTCCTGCGGGAGAATCTGTGAGGACCGCTAAGGCATGCCTTAACCTAGTAGTCGAGTTTAAAAATAGGAAAACAACTATGGACTTAATTATCCTACCACTGAGAGGTATGGATGTAATTGTGGGAATGAATTGGATGGCTGCAAATGGTGCTATCCTAGATTGTAGAGAGAGGAGTGTGTCTTTATCTTCTTTGTCGGTGACCCCAGTCGAGACTCAAGATCATGTTTTCTTGTCGGCGGCGCAAGTTGATAGATGTATGAAGAAGGGTTGCCAGGCCTACATGGTTTTCTTCTCTATCCAAGCTGAGATTGATGAAGGCGTGAAGAATATCCCAATTGTCAAAGAATTTGCGGATGTATTTCCAGACGAAGTCTCCGGTTTACCCCCAAAGCGCGAGGTAGAGTTCTCAATTGAATTGGTACCCGGTACAGGGCCAATTTCTAAGGCTCCTTATCGGATGTCCCCTTCAGAGTTAGCGGAACTGAAAAAGCAAATCGAAGAGCTACTTGAGAAGGGTTTCATCAGACCGAGTGTTTCACCTTGGGGATCTCCAGTCCTTTTTGTAAAGAAGAAGGACGGAAGCCTCCGATTGTGCATTGATTATAGACAATTGAACAAAGTAACCATCAAGAACAAATATCCACTTCCGAGAATCGATGATTTGCTGGATCAGCTTGTGGGATCCGCAGTTTTCTCAAAGATTGACTTAAGGTCAGGGTACCACCAATTGAGAGTGAGAGCAGAGGATATACCTAAGACAGCATTTCGGACGAGATATGGGCATTATGAATTCATGGTGATGCCGTTTGGACTTACGAATGCTCCTGCGGTATTCATGGATTACATGAATAGGATCTTTCGACCCTATTTAGATAAGTTTGTAGTAGTGTTTATTGATGACATTCTTATTTATTCAAAGGATGAGGAGGCTCATGGTGAACATTTAAGAATCGTCTTGCAAGTTTTGAGGGAACATAAGCTTTATGCCAAATTAAGCAAGTGTGAATTTTGGCTCCAAGAAGTAAAGTTTTTGGGCCATGTTGTGTCCAGAGATGGAGTTGCGGTGGATCCTAGCAAGATTGATGCAGTGATGAAGTGGGAACAGCCAAAATCTGTTACAGAGATACGAAGCTTTTTAGGTTTAGCAGGTTATTATCGTCGCTTTATTAAGGGATTTTCGCAAATTGCGATGCCCTTAACTAAGCTGACTAAGAAGGATGCCCCATTTATTTGGACTGACAAATGTGAAGCTGCTTTCCAAGAATTGAAAAAGAGGTTAACCACTACTCCAGTATTGACTATTCCTGACCCTGTGGTGCCGTACACTCTGTACACTGATGCTTCTTTAAAGGGTTTAGGATGTGTTTTGATGCAAAATGACCGAGTGGTTGCCTATTCCTCCAGACAGTTGAGACCACACGAGGAAAATTACCCTACTCATGATTTGGAGTTAGCTGCAGTTGTGTTTGCTCTAAGATATGGAGACACTACTTGTATGGATCTAAGTTTCAAATCTTCAGTGACCATAAGAGCCTGAAGTATTTATTTGATCAAAAAGAGCTTAATATGAGGCAGCGACGATGGATGGAATTTCTAAAGGATTATGACTTTGAATTACATTACCATCCGGGTAAGGCTAACGTGGTAGCTGATGCCTTAAGTAGAAAGACTATTCATGCTGCACATTTGATGGTTCATGAATATCATTTATGGAACAGTTTTCATGATGTTCCAGTAGATGTGATTGAACATCAAATGGCCGCACTCCAGGTAGCAGACTTTGAGAGCAAATTCTGGGAAGATCTCAGAGTCTCACAGCAAAGTGATGACTACTTAAGGAATATAAGGAAGGAGATAGTGGTAGGTAAGGCCCCAAATTTTACCATCTCTGAGGACACAGTGATGAAGTATAAAGGTAGAGTTTGTGTACCTAATGATCCAAGATTGAGGAATATCCTTTTAGAAGAAGCTCATAGGAGCAAATATACAATTCATCCCGGTATAACTAAAATGTACCATGATTTGAAGCGAGGTTGGTGGTGGCCAGGAATGAAGAAAGATGTAACTGAATTTGTTTCTAGATGTTTAACGTGTCAGAAGATAAAGATAGAACATCAGAAGCCAGCTGGAACACTGCAACCGTTAGATATTCCAAAGTGGAAATGGGATGATATTTCTATGGATTTCATCACTGGACTGCCAAGAACACCCTCGAGTAAGGATGCTATTTGGGTGATAGTAGACCGACTCACCAAATCAGCTCACTTTTTGGCGATCAAGTTTACCTCTACATTAGAGAAATTTGCTGAGATATACATTAAGGAGATAGTTAGACTTCATGGTATACCCTCTAGAATTGTGTCAGATCGTGACCCAAGGTTCACTTCAAACTTTTGGGGTGCGCTACAGAAGGCTATGGGTACCAGACTGAGTTTTAGCACCGCATACCACCCCCAAACAGATGGACAAACAGAGAGGACGATCCAGACTTTGGAGGACATGTTGAGAGCTTGTGCCATTGAACTACCAGGTAGTTGGGATAATCATTTGCCATTAGCTGAATTTGCTTATAATAACAGCTATCATTCTAGTATTGGGATGGCGCCTTATGAGGCCTTGTATGGAAGGAAGTGTAGATCGCCTTTATGTTGGACAGAATTAAGTGAGAGGAGTATCATTGGTCCAGAAATTGTAGAGCAAACCACCCAGAAGATTGCAATGATTAAGCAAAAATTGCTAACCGCTCAGAGCCGACAGAAGAGCTATGCTGATAAGAGGAGACGGCCGTTAGAGTTTGAAGTAGGAGATCATGTATTTTTGAAGGTTTCTCCAGTGACAGGCATTGGTAGATCCATTAAGGCAAAGAAATTGACACCTAGATTTATGGGCCCGTATGAGATCTTGGAGCGAATTGGATCTACTGCATATAGAGTTGCATTACCTCCACAGATTGCAGGTATCCATAATGTGTTCCACGTATCACAGTTGAAGAAGTACAACCCGGATCCCTCCCATGTTATTGAACCTGAAGAAGTAGAATTGAGGGAGAATTTGACCTTTAGATCCGAACCGGAGCGAATTGAGGACTTTAAGGACAAACAACTACGCAATAAGACCATCCGACTCGTGAAGGTGATTTGGAAGGGTGGAGCCCTAGGTGATGCTACTTGGGAGACCGAGGAGAGTATGAGGCGAGATTATCCACATTTATTTGCTTAGGTACATAGTTTCTAAGCTTATCTATTAAATTTTGAGGACAAAATTTCTAAAAGGAGGGGAGAATTGTAACATCCTGATTTTTATATAATAAAGAAATTGTGGAATTTAGGTTTTGAGAAAAAAAATGATAATAATAGGAATTTATATTATTTGAGGTTATTTAGAAATAATATTATGATTAGGTATTTAATTATGAATTTAAAAATTTAAATTTAAAACCACATAAGCAATATTTAGTTAAGATATAATACATAAATAATTTTTTTTATGTGTGTGTTAAAAAAAAAAAAGAGAAGGTAGAAGGAACAAAAAAAAGGGGGGGTGGAAGGTTGTTGTTTCTAAGTCCCACATTGGTTAGATGAGGGAAGAGAAGAGGTGCCTTCATGTATAAAAAGGAGGGGGTGTGTGCATTAGGAAGCATGAGAGGCTAAGATGCAATTTAGAGAAAATTGCAACTTTGGGCCCAAAGGTTTGAATAATTAAATTCAAACCTATAGTTTTTTTTTTAATATAATTTTGGGACTCACAATCCCATTTTTATATTATTTTTCTCTCTTCCTCTCACGTTGCTCGGCGTTTTCTCGCAAGGGGGGATTATTTTCTTTTTCTTCAGGTATGTTCTAACTTTCCTGTTTAGATTAGCATTTAAAAATTTATTTAATTACAAAATTAATTTTATAGTTATTTTCTAAATAATATTAGCTTTCTAGTGATATGATTATTTTGTAGGATAGAGTAAATATTTTGATTAGGATTTTTCTATAGGATAGTTAATCTGATGATATGATGGATTAAAAATATAGGTTAAAATTCTTAGGGATATAGTAAATATTATAGAATATTTTCTTAAGGTTGAAACTCATGTTTAAGAATTTTTGAGTTAAAATCTAGATCTATATGGTTGAATTTATGTGGAATCTGAGATGTAGGGATAAATCTATGATTATTAAATATTTATTTAAGTATGAATAGGTATTTTTGAGGTTATAGAAAGGTGATTTGAGGCTTCAGGATAATTCTAAAATTTTTAATTTATTTTTGGATGAATTTTTAGAATGTAGAAGGATGAAATTGTGATACTAGAAGTGAATTGAGGATAAAAAAAAATAGTTCATTAGGGTACGAGAATTTTAGAAAAGAATTTGGGAAGTTAAATGAGGCATAAATCTTAAATTAGTGTTAATATGGACTATAGATTTAAGACTTTCTAACTCTTTAAATTAGAGTTATTTATTTTAATGTAAAATTAATATATAGTATTGTGAAATAATTATGTAGATTATATTGACAAAGATAGTGGTGAAAAAGGAGTTGTGAAGGGGAACTTGTTATTCAAGACACAAGGTAACCATTATTAATGTGTTGTGATGGGTGTGTTTGTGAATGGTTATGTGTTGTTTTGTTGTTTGGAAAAATTATGAATTATTGAAAATAAATACTGTATATACTTGTTTGAAATTATTGCCAAGTGGGTTAAAAATTTATTTTTGTTTATCATGATGAGATATTATTGTTCGGATATATTCCTGTTTGGATATTTGAATGATGCATGACTTGTCAGGGTATTTTAATGTATGGTGTTAATGGGAATTTCTGTTCGGTTAATTATTACCACGTGGTAAGCCCTCATTGGACCCAATGAGTGGCGTGTCGCTTGGTCCAACTCACCTTTGGCCGGGTGATTTGGCGTCCGAGCATGGTGAAAGGAGGATATAAGGTGCAGTCATGCAATTAAATACTTGTTCGGTTTGTTTGAAAATATTGTTCGGTTAAATGTTTTGTGTGCCCACTTAGCAATCGCATGATTAGTTACATCCGCATGCATCATTACATATTAATTTTTGGTTACTGAGACTTTTAAGTCTCATTCCCCGTGGTTAATATTTTTACAGGAGCGAATCCGGCCGAGAAAGCACCAGAGGTGTAATTATGGTGTATGAGACACCATCTTTTACGTTGCCTCTTATTTTGGATTATACAATGTATCTTGTGCCAACTTAGGACATATCTTGTCTATGGAGCATGTAAACTCTAATCCTTTTTATTAAATGCATTTATATGTCCAAGAGGATTATGTCTGTCCCTTTTGATTCATGACCTAATTTAAATAACATGCTATGAGGATCATGTCTGTCCCTCATGGTTCTAATTGCTTTTTGAGATATTTTAAGACCTGTGGTATATTGTCTTGGATGTATCATGGTAGAAATTTTTCTACCATGATAAGGGTATGATAAGGGTTCAATGAAAAAAAAAAAATGATTTCTTGAATTAATAACTTGCGAAAAATCGGTTTGTAAATTTGAGGGTGTTACAGTGGACAAGGAAGATTAAGTTTAAGTGATTAGGTTGTGATTGATTGCGCTGCTTGTTTTTGATAATTTTCTCAATTGAATTTCCTTTATTTAATTTTAATTTATTTTTTTAAATTGATTTCATCATAAATTTCCCTCATTATTTACCTTTTTATTATTATAATTTAAATAGTTACTCTATTGACTTTTAGGGAGACGACCTTAGTTCCACTTTGCTACAAAAGCTAGTTTTATTAATTTTGGTGCTATTCGACAGTGGTGTCACTTATTCACAAATAATTCTTGTAAAATTTAGACGGGACAATCAAATTCAACCCCCTTTCAAGAGAATTAATCACAGATAAGGATCAACAACAAGTCCCATTCGAGAAAAAATAAGTTATGTTCTTATTTTGATAATAATTCATTTTGTATTGGGCCTTATATGTGATTAATTTCCTTAAAGGAGTTGAATGTGATTTTCCCAATGTAAAAACTACATTCATGTCCCTTATGACCTAAATGTAATTTACAATTAATGTATAAAGACAACAATATTAAAAATACATTACATTAATATAGTAATTTACAACTATTGGATGTGTGTAGATATAGTTATAAATTATTGATAAAATATTTATAAATAATTAGTGTTAAACTTTATTAGTAACACATGATCAGTTTAACCATTGGATATTTGGAATTATAGTTTTAAAAAGTTAAAGTAATAGTTGCATATTATTAATGAAGTAATTATAAATGTGAAATAGTTATATTTTTAATAGGAACATTATTGTCTTTGTACTCTAATTTCAAAATATACTTAGGTTCAAAGGGACCTAGATATGATTTTTAAATTTTGAGGAATTTATTTGTAAATAAATTTACTCTGTAGGATCTATGCATAATTTTCTCAATTATTTACTCTATAATAAATTATTGTTATTAATTTTATTAATATTATAAGATCCACTTATTTTTTATTTGATTTAGACATAAGTAAATTAATTATATAAGCTTAAGTACAAAAATCTTACTCATTTATAAATTGAACTAGGATCCCGCTGGAAAAGGGGCTCACACTTAGTATCCACCACTATTTTAAATAAAATTTTCTCTAATAGGAGGATATATAAGTGAGAAATAAAAAAATTAAATTGAGATTAATGTTTTTAAAAGTAAAAAGATAGTGAGGGACTCAACTATTTCACTCAATAAAATAAAAAAACGAAACCTACTATATTGATTAATTTTATTTATATATTATTTGCTTTTTGATGACATATTATTTACTTAATTATTATTATTATTATAAATAATATTATTACTCAAAGCCCATCAGAAAATTTAAAAAAATATGAGTGAAACAAATATGTACACAATACACACTAGTTTAAAGTATATATTAGGAGTGAGCATTTGGTCGATTCGGTTCCAATTTCTTTAAAACCGACCGACTGAATTATATAAAAAATTTAAATAGAATTGAACCAAAATACATGATTGAATTGAATCGAATCGAATTATAATGGTTTGATTTGATCGGTCTATTCAATTTATGGACTTTGAGTTGGGTCTATGGAGTCTAATTATTCATATATTCTTCTATCTAATTTTTTCCCTTGATCTTGAAGGCCCAACAAAAAAATAGCAATCTTATATTATAATTCATGAGAAAATTAATAAAATTCAGTACTATTGCATTAATAACAAAATTATAAAAATAAAAAATAAAACATCTCATTAAACAAAAAAAATACTCTTATTGTAAGTGATAGAAAGATATTTCTTAATTACTTAGATAAGAATTTATTTACATTTTTTAAAATATAAAAAAATATATTATAACTTGGTTAGTTCAATTTATTTGATTTAAGAATTTTTTAACCAAATTGAACCAAAAAATTAAATAGATTATATCAAATAGATAAAATTCAATTCAATTCTGTTTTGCTCACTCCTAAGTATTAGCAGGGTGTCCAAGTATTTAGGCTTAGGTTTTGCCCTGTGAAAATTTTTACAACTACTTTTTTGAAAAGCATATAAACAAATTCCTTTTAAAAAATCAATTATTATCATTTAACATATATTCTTATAAAACTAATATTAAAATCAAAAGTAATCTTTTTAAAAATTACATCTAATCAACAACTATCAATTATTTTTATATAATACTAATTTAAAAGCAAATTTTAAATTTTAAAAGAGATTAAAAAATTAAAATAGTAAGAAATGTTTAAAAAGTTCATAAAAATAATATAATTTAGGATAATTCTCAATAAAAAATAATATCATGAAATAAATATTATTTACAAAAAAATTTACATGTGTGGGCTACACAATTATTTGACTCCTGTCAAGTGTCCGATTGTTTCAGGTAGGCCCGAGTTTGTTGGGCTCGGACAATGTACGTAGCCCAAAAGCGCAGGAGAATGAAAGCATGTATCATATTAGTACTATCACGAAAATCAGCACAGATTAGCAGTGGCCGAGGCTTCCTAAATTGGTCCTGAAATTTAAAGAGCAAGTTACACTTCCATATGGTTATATGAATCTAGTCTTTAGAAGACTACTCCTTATCTATTGGCTTCTAAAAAAATAAATAAAAAAAATTCCATCAACCTGCTCTGAAATGATGCTGATTATTTTTTTTTTTAAGTATGAGGAATATTTTTTCCAACAGTAGCGAATATTTTTTCTCAGATATTGAAAGTAATTTGTAAATTTCTCCCAACTAAATTGTTACATACACCCCTCAACCACTTTCTAATTATATTTATGTTAATGAAATTTCATGAGAGTTGAACAAAATCTCCACATCATAGTTACGAATTAAATTGATGTGGCCTGGATATATATATATATATTATGATTCGTCAAGATTCCGAGCTTTGAAATAAGTATTAAATTTTTAAAAGTACTTGTAGGGATAATTATAAATAATAGATTATCCAATAATGAGTTTCGCAGATTAATAACAGGATTTAGTAATATTGAATGAGCCATATCATTACTAATTGAACCAATGTGTAGTGGTAAAATTGGATATATATTCACACACACACACAATTTTACCAAAGCAATTCTCTAAGGTTGAGATTCCTAACTTCTGTAATTTTTTTAAAAATATTTTCTCCATTTTATTATTTTTTATAAGACATAAAATTTCCTCTTCTCCCTTTCTTAAAAAAATAAATTTCATAAAATTCACATATTCTCAACCTTAGAGTATCCATTCCCCAATTTTGGAGCACAAAGTTTGTGATAATGAAGATTGAAGACAAAGTGGGAATCAAACAGTGCCACTCAAAATAGTAGTAGCAATTCATCTTAGGAATGGTTGGTGTTGAATATTAATAATAGGTTCTCTCAATTAAATGTGGTGGTAGGTTTCAACTTTCAACTACTCCTTGAGGTGGTTTACTTTTTGTTTGCGCCCTTGCCTATAATTTAATTAATACATAAATAATTAAAAATAAAATATTCATTTGGATTGGAGTTATTTGGAGGCTGAAAATCTTGGTTTTCAAATTTGTCAAATATTTTATCCAACACTTTTAAATTTTTATTAAAACTCTTATAATTCTATTTTTAAGTCACTTCAAATATATTTCACTTAAATAAGAAAATATTAAAACTCAAGAATTCTATTTTAAAATTTTATAAATTTCAATTTTATCCCTAATAAATAGACATTTTTTAACATTTCATCGATCTCAAATTAAAAGATGACTTTGGAAGTATTTTGTTGTCCCAAAATGTAAAACAATTTGAAAAGAATAAAGTTTTGTTAATGATGTTTTTTAATATTATCCTTCAAATGAAGAGAGAATTGAAATCATTGTAGTATAATAATTAAATATGTAGATTTAAATTTTTACTAAACTAAGAGCACCTTGGAAAATTTATGTTTTTGTTTTGAAAAAATAAATTTGTAAAGTGTTATTATTGAGATTTATTAGTATGAGTAATCTTATCTCAAATTATCTTAATAATTTGGAATGTAAGAGTAATATACTTTTTTCACTAATATTTGATGGAGGGTAAAATAAAAAATTATGATAAAAAATTTATGACATGACTTATAAATGAAACAAAGGAGCTTACCTAAAAAAAAGAGAAATTTTTTTCTCTCTTCACATTATCACTACTATAAAAAATAAAATTAACGATGATAATTAATGTCGGTTATAAGAAAACCAACGTTAAAAAAAGGCGGTGGCATTTCAGTAAATTAAGGGAAACAATTTCACATCAGTTTTTAATTAACTGAAATGAAAATTATTCACCACATCGGTTCTAAGAAAAACCGACATGGTATGTTTAAAAAAATTAAAAAAATTAAATATATTTTTTAACGTCGATTCTCGTTTCAACCGACATGAAAAAAATTAAAAATAAAAAAAATTGTCACTTCTTTTTCACATCGATTCCACTAAGAACCAACGTGAATATCTGTTTTAACATCGGTTCTCATTAGAACTGACATTAAAACTTCAGCTAAAAGATGTTAAAAGACAGCTTTCCTTGTACTCTTCCCATTCCGCATTTTCGCCTCCCTAGTCGCTAGTTTCAACATTTTGTCTTTCTAAAATTCAAACGTTGTGCTCCAGAAAAAAAGATGCTCCAATCCACTGTTCCACCGCAGTCGTTCATCACCCGCTGTCCATCCGCCGTCCTTCTCGTCGGCGTTACTACTCTCTTCTCTCCCTGCCGTCTTCTTCAATGATTTTCTTTGGGTACTTGAGATTTTTCCTCTTTTTCATTTTTTTTTCTTCTTTCTTTTTCCCTCTTCCTCCTTTATTGTTTTTTGATGCATTTTTGTAACCTCTTCTTCTTCCTTTCAACAATGCAGGTTCATATTTCTTCTTCCCTCTTCCTATTTCATTGTTAGTGTTTTTGGGGATTCAAAGTTTCTCATTTTC